ATGGTGGAACATTTGAAGCAGGAGGGGACTACACACACATTTATATATATATATATATATATATATATAATTAATATTTCAATCATCTATTCTGTTCATCCAGTGAACATCCAGTGTAATTTTATACTTATGTTTACTGTGTTGAGATGTGCTTGAAGTGCTGGTGGTGGTGAAGTTGCGATCAAGTTGAGGGGAGAATGACAAACTTCATAAATGTCATTCTGTTGTCAGGAGAGTCCTCGAGTGGAAGGTTTGCAACATGGGTGTTTGGTGTTTTGCGGTCTGACCGAATATCTCTACTTCTCTCTAACTCCTTCCTTCCTCCACTTCGGGTCTGGAGATCGTGGCTTTTACCTTCTGCAAAGGTCACACCTCTTGAGTTTGGCTTAACCAATGCCAAAGGTGTAATTTCGAGCAGGAAAATGTTTCTTTGTTAGGAAGCTGACTCATCTGCATGATCAGAGTGGGTAGGCAGGTTTTTTTTTTTTTTTGGCAATTTATAATCAAATGAATATAAGTATGCAGTGACTAGGAAGTGATATACACCAATGTGTAGGGACTTACACAAGATATATTCTGACATAAAACATGGTACAAATAATGTAACATTGTCTAATAATTCTATCATAAGGCATGCATAAACAGAATACAATTCAAAAGACAATATACAAACCAGTAACAATACACAACGTCCTGGGGATATATATGTTCATTCGTAGAAAGGTTTGCCTTTGAAATAATGGAGAGAAGTCTTTTTGTATGGGCATCATGTCTGTTTCACTAGTGAATAAAGTGAGAGGGAAACTCCCTCTAAATTATTTTGGGTTGTAAAACAGTCTTATTTTGATGATTTATCTTTGGTAGCCAGAGGCTCGTTCTGTATATGGGTATTAGTTGTGGTTTAGGGGGTAGTTCATAGACACCTTGGCACCTAGTTTTGTTGTTGGGTGAGGGGTCTGTTGGAGCCAAATTATAAGAAATGATTAAAGTCTTGCTGCACAGCTGTGGGCCATCCTGACCCAGTCATTGATTCTTTTGTCACATGACACTGCACTGGCTATGAACCGGAATTATTAGTTCAACTCCTGAGTCTTCTGTTTGGAGTCATTCATACTTTTGGCACGTGACGGTCACTTAACAAGTTGGGCTGTTCATTTTATTATTTATTTTTCTCTGACTGCTGACTCATGTTTAACCAACCATGAACTGCTAACTGACTAGATCAGAACGAAGCAAATTAGAATCACGTGTATTATGATTGCAGTTTGGAGTTCTTTGCAGGAACAGGAGTATTATTTTAACCTAATCAACACTTTGATGTTTTGTGCCTTAAAATCACTAATGCTGATAGTACAGGTATTGCAAATGGAGCTCCTGTTAACTATTCAGGAGCAGCAGTATTTGGATGGGATGCTTGAGGAATAGATATTCATAAAATGTCTTCTTAACCATGGTAAAGATACTCTGGAAACCCTATTCTTATTTTGCGATGGTTGATAACAATGTATTTAATTATGAATTGTTGATTGTATATGTAAGTCACGACTGAAGGATGTTCTTAGGCACAACGTGAAGTGCACACACTGCTCTTGAGTCCCATGGAGGAGCTCCAGAAGGATAAAAGGATGATGACAGTGAAGGACGAGAGAGGACCAGGCCTGGGTCATTTTAGTTGCTGTTTTGTTTATGTTTATGTGACAGTAGTCCTTAAGAGGCTGAAGCTTATT